GACCAGCCTGAACTACAAAGTGAGCTCAAGGCCAGCCTGAACTACATAGTGAGACCCTATCTCAAAAAGACAAAAAAAAAAAAAAAATTCTTACAGCTCTACAATAAAAGGACAAAAATCCAATTTAAAATGGACACAAGGTACTGGGGATGTAGTTCAGTGGTAGAGTGCTTCCCTAGCATGCACAAGGCCCTGAGTTCAATATCTAGTACCACAAAAAAAAAAAAAAAAAAAAGACAAAAGATACAGATTTTTCCAAAGAACTATACAACTGGACAACAACCACATGAAATGATTATCACTAGTTAGAAAAATGCAAATCAAAACCATACACACCACTTTACACCTAATACAATGTCTATTATTAAAGGCTACTGTAGGGCTGGGATTTAGTTCAGTGGGCTTAGTGCCTGCCTGGCAAGCACAAGGTTATGAGTTCAATCTCTGGTACCAAAAAAATAAAATAAAATGAAGACTACTGCAGATGATGTAAAAACTAGAATCTTGGTATACACTGGTGGGAATGTAAACTGCTGCAGCCACTCTGGAAAACTGCAAAAGACCATTTGGACGGCTTTCCTTCAATGTAGAACAATTACATCAGCATTAGTTAAACTGGGCCTTTTCTCCAGGAACTGATACATACAGAGCTGGCTAAACTATTCCTTTCTCCCTTCAATTGGCTCTAAGCAAAGTAAATAGGGCTCTAAGCAAGGTAAATGAGGTCCTGATGCGTAATCTTTGAAGCCAGCCAGTGTCCAGTTGAGCACAGTGGGATGGCAGAGCCACATAGCTCTACCCAAGGCACAAAAGTTTAGACATCAGAAACAACATCAGGGCACAAAAGTTTACACATCAGCAACAGCCTCCTAAACATTCTAAACATTTAAACACTACCCCAATTGAGTTGTGCAGATTAGTCTTTCTGCATACCCTTCTCTACATATTGTAGAGGTGCTTTCTGGCCTCCTAGCTAAACCTAGCTCACAGACTCATGTAATTCCTGCCATTCTCACAGTCAGTCATCCTCAAACAACTCCCTTCTTCACAAATTAATAAATTCTGGGTGAGGCCCTGGTCATGGCCTTGGGCCATGAATCCTCATCTGAATCAGGCTTTAGACCCCTTGGCTGCCCATAACTATGAATATGTCTTAAGTGTCTTTACTCTCACCAAAGGCTGCAGTAGAGGTGGTAGATTGGAATTAACTCACCAGGATTCCAATAACATTTGTAACTGGGATTACAAATAGACTTTCCGGAGAGGACAGGAAAAGACATTATAATAGAAAAGTGCCTGACATAGTTCCTCATATGGTTAAACAGTTACCATACAGGGGCTGGGGATTTAGCTCAGTGGCATAAGCACCTGCCTTGCAAGCAGGCGGTCGTGAGTTCGATCCCCGGTACCGATGATTAAAAAAAAAACAACCTGAAAACAGTTACCATACAACACTAAAATTCCAGTTTTAGCTACATTAATCAAGAGAAATGAAAACACTTGGCTGCACAAAAGCTTGCATGTTAAATTTCACAGATGCAAACATACAAAATAATAGCAATCCAAAAGCCCATCAGCTGATGAATGGATATACCACATGTGTCTGACCCATATAAAAGATTATTCGGCCACATAAACAAAGCACAGATAGAGGCTACAACATGGGTGAACCCTAAAAACATACTTAGTGAAAAAAGCCAAACACATAGGTCACGTATGATATGATTTCATTTACATGAACTATCACAACAGGCAAATCTACAGAGACAGAAAATAAATTAGTCATCTCATGAGGTACATGAGGGAGAATGAGGACTGACTGCTAATGAGTTCAGGCTTGCTTTCTGAGGCAAGAAAATGTCCTAAAAGTGATTACAGTTATGTTTGCACAATTCTATGAATATTTTAAAAAATAAAAAATAAACTAAAAAGCCTCTTTTAATAAGACTTAAAGGATTTAAAAGATAGACCAATTTGCACTATGTAAACTTAGGTCCTGAGTTTTTTTTTTTTTTTTTTTAATTTTTTTTTGGTCTTTTTTGTTTTTATCGGTACCAGGGATCGAACTCATGACTGCCTGCTTGCAAGGCAGGCGCTTATGCCGCTGAGCTAAATCTCCAGCCCCAGATCCTGAGTTTTTAAAATGCACTATAGAGGCCAGGGATTTAGCTCAGTGTCACCCTCCTGGCAAGCAGAGGGTCATGAGTTCAATCCCTGGTACCAAAAAAAATACACTATAAAACTGAGCACAATGGTCCATTCCTATAAACCCAAAAGTCTGGCAGGCTGAAGCAGGAAGGTCACAGATTCAAGCTTACCAGGGTAAAGTAGTCCCTTAGCTAGAGCCTGTCTGGAAAACTTTAAAATGACTGGAGATACAGCTTAGTGCAAAGGTCCTCCAACACTGCACAAACAAATACTATATAATAAACTATAAAATAAAGTTATAAGAGTACCATTGAAAGTTGAACATTGAATACCTAATTCTATTAAGAAATTATTAATTTCTTATAATATAATAATAGAAATGGGTTGTTTTTTAAAAAGGAATTCCTGTGTTTTTATTTTGTTTTGTTTTGTTTTTTGAGAAACAGTCTCACTACACAGGTCAGGTTGTCTTGAACTTGCTATGTAGTTCAGGCTGGCCTCAACTCAAATTCCTTCTGCCTTAGCTTCCCAGAGTGCTAGGACTGCAGATGTATACCATCATACCCAGAAAAATTCCTGCAATTTAGAGATACATATCAAAATATTTAGAGATGAAATGATATAATGTTTAAGATTTGCTTGAAAATAACCAGGGAAAGGGATAGAAATTAGGTAGGAATAGAGGTAAAATAGTTCTGAACAGGTAACTATCAAAGCCATATGATGATACATGGAGTTTATTACACTATTATTTCCCTTTCTGTAATGTTTGAAATTCCTATCTAAAAATGGAGAGAAGAGACATGAGAGATTATTTTCCTGTCACATCAATTTTCTAAATTCCAATTACAGTATCAATCTCACAGGTGAGGAAACTCATTGTCAATTGCTCTCAAGAAACAACTAAAAATACCCTTGGACTTCCCCTTCCATCCTCATCAATCACTTTTTCTGCCTCAATTTTCCAAAAGAAGCTTTCACCCTTAATACATTCTCCATTTGTTGGTCTCCTTTTATAATTTGTGCTAGCTTTAATGATTTTTAATTAAAGTTAAAAACTTGCTGAGTTTTGTTATTAAGTGGTTTCTTGAGAGATAAACTGTCCTATCTCCTCTGGCTTCTCAATTTCATTTCCTCATCTGTTGAGGCAAAAGAAAGAATGATCCAGAATTTTGACCTTGATTGCATATAGAAGAAAAAGGCTTGGGCAAAGGGTAAACATACATGAGGCAGTTGGTTCAATCATCAAAACCACAAAGATTTTCAGACAGCCCAGTACCACTCCACCTCTCTACTACAAATAAGTCTACTGAAACAAAATTCCTGTTGAAGAAGGATGGGAAAAGCACAATGACAATCACTTTACCTAAACATATCAGTCATTACAATAAGCCTAGGACACAGATACTATTACGATTGAGCTCAAGGCCAGCCTAAACTGCATAGTGAAACCCTGTCTCAAAAAGACAAAGAAGAAGAAGAAGAAGAAGAAGAAACTACCTCATGATATCTCTGCTGTAGTAACTCTAAAGTTAAAGGACCAGAAATTACAATTAGATCCAATCATTTGCTTTAGAAACAAAGATTATCTCCCAGAAAACCCCCTACTCATTAGGATAACCAATTTCACAAATCTTGTTCTTGCACAGCAAAAACAAAAGTCACATAATTTATATTTTAAAGATTCAGAGAGATCTTTAAAAATTAAAAACAAAAAGAAGTATCCTTTTTGCCTTGCCACTCTATACCCACAGAAGTATCTAGGTGGAGGCAGGGCCAGGGGGCGCTGAAGATGGGGGTTGTTCGGAACAGACTGCACACTGAGAAGCAAGCTCTATGACAGTAAGCAGGTCCTTCTAAGTGAATCCAGATCCTAGAGTGGCCAGAAAGGCAGGGGTTGGAAGCGAGGCTTTCCTAAGTCACTCCTATCTCCACATACAACACCCAAGAATGACTTAGCACCAAAACACCAACACGACTCCAGCAAGACAGGCTAACGGAGGATGAACACAGAGTCCAGCGACTAAACATCAGAAACACTGAGGACAAGAAGTCCACACCCACCTCCCTCTCACTTCCAGCCTCCCCGCCAAACCCATCCTCTGAGTACTGGGATTGGGAAGGACAAGTGCAGAGCGCTGTCCCCAGAGGAGCTCGGCATTGGGCCAGAAGGGAAGGAAGGGTTACAGAACAGGACAAGAGACCTCTAATGACGAGCTAAGAGAAGAAATGGAAGAGGCTGGAGAGTAAACAAATAACCCAAATGTAAAAAACAAGGACCGGGGAAGGAAGCTTGGAGGGTAAGTGGGAAAGACTGACAGGTGTGGAAGGAATCGAGGAACGCGGAAGACAAAGGGGCTGCGAACTGTGAACACTCTCGGACCAGGAGCTGCTGCTCTTAGTCTGCGAACAGGGATACACGGGCCAGCAAACTAGGATGTTCAGACAGCTCTGTGGCTGTAAGAGCTGGACTGACAGGGGCGAGGGCCCTGGGCGGGGAGTGACTGCAGAGACGAGCTGGATCCGAGCAGAATCCGGGCTTTGGGAATGAGGAGCGGCTGACATTCAGAGCTCTCAAGTGCTGGTACTCTGGGAACGCGGCAAGCACGGGGGTCAGCAGACCGAGAAAGCCGAGGCAGGGAGCTGGGGACTGCTTGTGACTGACGGAGTCGGGGGAAGACTGTCCGGCCTCGAGGGGTCAGAGACCTGCCGGTGACAAGGGCCAGGACCCCGGCGGACTGCTGACCCGGAGCCAGGGTGCAAAGGGGCGGGGGTTTACAGAGGAGCCGGGCTCAGGGACTTGGGGCGGAGTGTGCAGCTGGGGCGGCGGGAGCGGCGGGGCCGCCACTCACCACTCATGATGCAGCTCCCCGAGCCACTGCCTGCGCCGTGCCGCCGCCACCGCTGTGTCTGCCGCCACTGAGCTCCACACAGGCCGGGCGACAGCGCGCCCGCCCCGCCGCTGGTCCCGCCCCGGAAGTAGAACTCCTCCACCGAGGTCCCGCCCCTCGCCCCGGAAGCTAAACACGGAAGTGGGCAGTGGGGTGGAATGCACAGGCTACTGTTTGAGTGGCGCTGATCTGGCAAGGGGTCAGAGCTAATCGATTAACTGGTATGGAGCAATTTCCGCGCCTTCGCCCCAGGCTGTTTGCTGGTTTGCTTCGCCCCAGAGACAACAGCGCTCCAGAGAGGGATGTGAGCTAGAAAGGAAATATAAAAAGAGTAGTAGACTAAAGCGTGCATTAAGGTGCAGATAGGCAACTCCCAAAGCCCTCTCTGAGGAGGTGACTTCTTTGAGACGCAGGTTTTGGAGGAGCCATTCAAAGAAGGCTATTCCAGAAGGAACACATATGGGACCTTGCGTAGAGAGATTGACTGAACGTGAGGGGAGTGAGAACTGGGTAGTGAGAAGCAGGACATTCAGGAAGACTCTTAGGTTGTAAAGAGTTTGAGCTTTTCTGCCTACCCCTAGGGAGGTCAGGATGGAAGGCTATTGCAGGAATTCAAGCAGTGGTACAATCTAAATTAGAGTGGGTTTGGTTTTTTTAAAAGATCGCTGTGGTTTTTATTCAATTTGAAATGTTGATTAGGGCCTGGGGATACAGCTCAATGGCACAAGCGCCTGCCTGGCAAGCATGAGGTTGGGAGTTCAATCCCCAGTACCCCCCCCAAAAAAAATGTTGAGTAGGACAAAAGCAGTGAGAATGAAGCTTTACAAATAGCCAGAACCTAGTTGCCCATCGACTGAAGAATGATTAAAAAAAGATGTATTTTATACGATGGCATACTACGCAGTCATAAAGATAAACTGGAGACTTACAGGTAAATGGATGCAACTTGAGACCATGCTCATAAGTGAAATAAATAACACACGTATAAACATGATATTGTCTCACTAGTGTGAGAAGCTGAAAGAAACAACATGTATATATGTATATAAAACAGATAAGATAAAATTTTTAACAAAAGCAGGCATGGTGGTGCACACCTATAACCCCAATACTGGAGAGGCTGAGGCAGGAGGATCGTTGGAAGTTCAAGACCAGCCTGGACTACAAAATGAGCTCAAAGCCAGCCTGAACTGCATAGCAGTCTCAAAAAAAAACAAAAACTAGAAAATTACTATATCATTGTGATGTGACTTTACACTGTACATCTTGGAAAAAGTAACATTAGAATTGAGGCAATAACAACATGTGCAAACTAAGCACATTAACCCTGACAGTACTTAGAAAAAAAGCTGTTTTGCTTAGGTTATGGTTATTGTTGTTACATGTAGGTTGGTCTGCTTTGAAGGACAAGCTGTAAATAGCTTAACCATTTCAAAAATTCCCTCCTGCTGGCCCACAATGATGAGGAGGTGTTGGTATTCACTCCTGTTATTTGCAATCAGTTGCCCAGGAATTAAGGCACATGCACTGATTGAGATTTTGTACACAAGAGCAAATCAAGAAATCTGAGAAGCTGCCAGATGATATCAGTCAGAATTAGGAAAAGACCTTGAAAAGGATATTGTTCAGATACATGAGAGCATTTTGAACGTTTGCTTGTATCCACGTGCCAGGGAAATGGAGATGAGAACCAGAGTGTAAACCAGCAAACAGCTCAGGAAAATGCTCAGAGTATCAAATTGATGAGGGCAGAATCGGCAGATGAATCTTCTTTTAACATAAGCCTAGTCACAAGCGGCTTTCCTCAGCTGAAAGCTACCATGGAGGTTTATTCCAAGACGGTTAATCAAGATTTGTTAAGCAGCATCAGCCATGAGTTATATGGATAGATTAAAAGTGGTTTGTGTACCCTGAACTGTTCTGCCTTTGCTGAGATATACTGTACTATGAAAAATCCCTGGCACAGATGATGCTGCCCTGGTTAGAACTGCGGTTTCTCAAAGTGAGATTGACCTTGTACAATGAGTTAGGTTTTAAATCATCACTCTTTCTGGAATGAGAATGCACTGTAATGGAACAGCAGAGAAAGGCAGCTGGTTAGAAGATCAATGCAGCTGTTCAGGCGAGACAGTAACACTGCCAAACCTTGGTGGTAGAGGTAGATGGAGATGGATGGATTGAGCGTGAACACAAGTGTAATACAGTCACAACAACATATGAAACCAAGGTTGTGTTGTTTTACAGATGGTAGAAAAAAGACTCCAGAGAGGTTGGAATATTTGCCCAACTTGTTCTGCCTATACTTTTGTCATTGGCTGGTGACAGTTATTCTGAGGCCTAGGCTAGGGCCTGGCTAACACTGGCTGGGAGAGTAAGCATGACCTGTTAACTACAAAATCCCTGTTTAACACACGTACAGAACAGTTTCCTAAGCCCTGCAGCTGGGTTTCTGGTGTGAACTGGAGCAAATTTTTGACACAATGGACCCAGACCGTATATCACACTCAGAAATGAGAGAGATAAAAAAAAAGATGGATCAGCTGTTACTGAGCTCTCACTGCTGTATTTCTTCATGCTGCAGAGTGTACCTCTTTTCTTCTTTTTCTTGACCCAAACTCACTCTGCAGAGTATATTTCTTTTCCTATCTTTTTTTTTTTTTTTTTTTTTTTTTTGGGCTTTTTCGTTTTTACCGGTACCAGGGATCGAACTCACAACTGCCTGCTTTCAAGGCAGGCGCTTATGCCGCTGAGCTAAATCCCCAGCCCCCTTCTTTTCCTATCTTTAATACATGTAGACATTTGCTCCTGTTCATAATTGTTGACCCATACTTTGTTCAAGACAGAAATCACCTCTACAAGGAGACTCCAGCAACACAGAGACTGCACAGCCCAGTAATATTCTCTGTAATAATTGAAATTAAAGTGACAGTGATATAGGGGAATGAAACTCCCAACCTACTAGATATCCCAGTATGAGTTTGTGTGCTCTAAAATCAAAGAATGAATTTTAGGAACAATGGAAATTTAGAGCAGAATATATTTATTGAGAGAAAGAAAGGTTTTGTCTGAGAGACCAAAACGATGCCAAGTGGGTTGCCAAAGACTATCTTTTCTTTTTCTTTTTTTTTTTTTTTATCAGTACCAGGATTCAAACTCTCACAACCATGTGCTTGCAAGGTAGGCATTATACCGCTGAGCTAAATCCCCATCCCTCACCCTGTCTTTTCTAGGGACTTCTTTAGAGCAAAATCACAAGGTAAGATGGGAACTCACCAGGCAGGCATGAAGTGAGACAGAACTATGTCAACCAATAAAATTAATTTTTCAGGTAAAAGTGACCAAATTGGGGACAAGTGGAGAAGTGAGTCATGCAGCAAGGGAACATGCTTAAAAAGCAGTAACTCTTGGGAGGGTGGGGGGAATGGTGACTCCTGGCTTTTTTTCCTTGGTACCAGAGATCAAACTCACAACCTGTTTGCCAGGCAAGCACTGTGCCTGCTAAGCTAAATTCCCAACACGTGGAACTGGGACTGTTTAAGTATTTTGAGGGGTGGAAATCTGTGAAACTTGCTCATCTATAGTCTTGGTCTTGTTTGCTTAGTAAAAGAGTGTGGTCTACCCACAATTAGACAATGGTCCATTCATAAAAGAAACTAATTTACAGGTGGAAAGGTGGTCTAGTCACAGGTATAAGGGCACTTTGCAAGTAAAGCGGGGGGGGGGGGGGGACCGGTTTGTAGGTAAAAGGGAATTGTCCAGTTTTGGGGGTTTTTTTTTGGAACCAAGGATCAAACTCACGACCTCATGCTTGCCAAGCAGGCGCTTATGCCACTGATCTAAAACCCCTCAGGTTTAAAATGTATTTGTGTCCTGAAGCTGTAGTTTTCACTTCTAAAATTATGATCTTCTCTCCTTTTAGCCTAGTTGTCATTTCTTTTGTCCTACCTCATTTCAGGCTCTAGCTTGGAAAGGAACTGAAGGTAGCAGCTTTTGATACACAACATCAGACTGGCCCATTCACAGAGACCACGAGTTATTTTGTTTTGTTTTTGTCTGTTTTATGTTTTCTTTTTTTGTTTTAATTTTTGGAATTTTTGTTTGTTTTGTTTTACAGCACTAGAGACTGAACACAGAACCCCCTGCCTCAGCCTCCAAAAGTGCTGAAATCACAGATGTACTAGAAAGGAAGGTTTATGGAGTACTTTGGAGAGCTGGGGTCCAATCATCGCAGTCCTGCTCAATGATTTGCTCCGTCCTGGTTTCCTAGTTTCAGAAGAGGAATCCTTATGATTTGAGGCAATCTCAGTTCTTCGAAGCTCTGCTAGAATACAAAGCGACCTAGAGTTAGGACTGTGGAGACTTCTAGACTTAAGTGTTCTTGGTCTTGAAGAATGAAATAGGCTAGGAAAAACCTTGTGCTGCCAATTCTAGACAAACACTCCCTAAATAATTAATATGTTTATATAGAACTAAGAAAGATTTGATCAAGAGTTTTACAAAATGAAGATCAAGCTTTATTCTATTTTTAGTTACCTATGTGGCTTGTAGAAGATCCAACTGAAGAGTTACCGCTTTTGGCAAAAACCATTTTTAAGTCTCTAGTTATCTTAGAAAAAACGTAAATCATGCTTCTAAGTAACTGATTAAGGACGCAGTTAGTTTGTCCCCTGTCCCTATAGTGGTCCCGTCACTCTGAATGAAAAATATGTTCATTTTTTTTGTTGTTGTTCATTTGTTTGAGACAGGGTCTTGCTATGTAGCCCAGACTGGCCTTGAACTCTTGGTAGTTCTGTCTCAGCCTCCTGATTGCTCGTGTTACAGTCATGCGCCACCACACCTGGCTGAGTGAAAAATATGTTTTATATCCTAACCCAGTACACAAATATTTAAGGAGGTGGTTAACAAAAAAATTCTGTAATGTATTTTCTTCTGATTTTTTTTCCTTTTTAAATAAGACTTAATTCAGTTGATCAACTAGTAAGTCTTCACTGAAATTATTATAGACAGCTAAGTTAGAAATATACGAGGCAGTCAGACAGTGCTGCCGGACGGAGTTAGTACAGGAAATAAGAATGTATAAGGTATATGGCCGGA